CACAGGATCTGGATAAAGGTCCAATATAAAGAGAAAGGGGGAATGTCCACTGTTGTACTGCTCGCAACTGTAATGTTTTATAAACATAATGGAAACACCTTATAGATCAAATTTGCACTTCTCCAGAAATAGCAGACGAAACTGCATTGCATTCGAGCCTTGTACGTTCTCACCACAAACCCATGGACGGTGAACATTTCTAATAAGTTTGTTTTTTAAACAAATTAAACAAAAAACAATCCATCTGTTTTTTAAACCAACAACAATATTTCTAAGTAGGATCGAGTCAGAAGCATGATATCATAAATCGCTTCTCTCGTTCCATGGCACTGTGTACACACGTAGGCCAAAATGTCTTTACGCATAACATTCGCATGTCTTTACAAAATACTAGGTTCTTGTTAATTGTATCGTTGCCTATGTGCGAGGTAGATTCTCCAAAGAATTCAACTGTTGATATTGCATTATAGGAGGACTGAATAGCTTGTAGGAGTGTGTCTTTGGTAATCGGATGAGGGGCGTTCTTTGAAAATGGGGTTGGATAGCCTACTTGAACAAGCTAAATGCAGGTACAGTGCCTTGTAAAAGTATTCATCCCCTTTGGCGTTTTTCCTATTTTGTTGCATTACAACCTGTAATTTAAATTGATTTTTTTGGGGGGGGTACTGTCACGCCCTGGCTCTGGGGACACTGTTATGTTGAGCCAGGGTGTGTAATTCTATGTTTGTATTTCTATGTTGGCCTGAGTGACTCCCAATCAGAGGCAACGAGTGTCAGCTGGTTGTCTCTGATTGGGAGCCATATTTAACTGTCTGTCTTTCACTTTGTGTTTGTGGTTTCTTGTTCTTATTTGGTTTGTGTTCAACCGTAGACATCACGTTTTCGTCTGTTGTTTTGATCGTGTGATCATTCTCGTAATAAATATGTTCACCTTCAACGCTGCGCATTGGTCCTCCTCCTTAGACGATCGTGACACAAGCACTTCACCTGTCATTGAAATACAATTCTAGCAGGCCTCTACACGGATAGCAGTAGAGCTAAGTATTGCTTTCCCCCCCAAAAAACACAAAGTTCTACAAAACAAATACCCAGTGTTTTTCATCCAAACCATGAAGCAGTGTCTTTACTATGAGGAGAAAACATCATTTTGTGTCCAAGACACCAAAACCAGTTTGAGTAATATATCAACATTCCAGTTTGATCCGGTTAAGATCTGAAGAGTTCAAGAGAAGTTTGAATGTTAAATGCAATGATATACATTCTCAATAAGGTAACACTGTAGGCTGCTGGTGTGTATAGCATATTAGACTTGGAGGGCTATAGTTGTTTTCTCCAAGGCACAGATATGGAACAAAACACGCAAGGAGGACTAAAATGAACTTTAAAATATCAAGGAAGTGGGATTCAAACACATTTATTAAATCATTCAAAAATATGTATGCCAGAGGGACCATTTGAAACAAAAAAGAAGAACGAAATAGTAAAATAATTTTTTTATGGGAAGCATTACATACATGTTTGTGTGAAATCATAAAAATCTGCCATTTCAATGAAAATACGGTACTGCATTTAAAAACCCATCTCGTAGAATTTGATTGGGGTTATTAGTCACAATTTGCAGGAGAGTAGAAAGGTTCATATTCCCTTAAAGAGTTCAAGTAAGCACCATAACTTCCTCCAGTAGCCTCTAACATCAACCTAACTCCAAACTGCAGTAGTGAGTGAAACTTGTAAATAGTTGAGGTGTGATGGTCATGCTGGTTTGCAGCCTATGCATTCTCCATACTGTGTCAACATGGGCCAGACAGTAAAAAACCCACTCAAACGTGTTTCCGTAAAAAACACGAGATGATTTGGTCAATTAGCATTACCAAGCAAGTAGGCTTGGGCGGTATCCAAATTGTCATACCTTCATACCGACCTTGTGACACCCCAGGATATGTGGTAATACTGGCGCTGTTTTCAAACCCCACTGAGCCTCTGTAATCCGAAAGTTAGCAATGTTAACAAGTACATTTAACATTCCATAGCGAATGCTAGCTAAATGCTAACAAGCACATTGCGAACATTTGATACAGTCTCTGACAAACTATTTGCAGGACAGACGTCCCAGCTCATAAAGTTATACAAGTAACTCATAAATTCTACTCACAGTTTTCTGCATGCACAAAACAAATATTAGACAGCAAGGCTCTTGATCCAGGAGGGGATTATCTGCTGTTACCAAGAGAAGTTTGATTTTGCAAGAACATAACCACTTAGCTAGAAACTAGCTACTAAATTAGCAAACCAAATGCCCAACTGCAGAACATTTAGCACATTTTTGACAGTTAACTTAATAGTTGTAAGATATCTAGCTGGCAAACATTTAGTTGTGAATTCCATACTGTAACTAGATCACCTGGCGCGTGCTACACAACAGTGAGTGACTCACAAGGCTCCTGTCTCTCATCATTGTGTGCTTGTAAACAAACACCATGTGACTGGGGACAAATACCCCGGTATACGGTATACCGCCCAAGCCTAGCAAGCAGGTTAACGTTAGCTGCTAGGCTAGCTGCAGCTAGCTTCCCTCCACAGTGACAGAGGCTTGTGAAAGCTTTGCGCCGCACATTAACTGGCAACATCTCATAGGCCTACACTTAAAAACATCCTCAGCGAAATAGTAGTTCTAGACTTCAACTGAAGTCCAAGCATTCAGACATGACAAAACAACATAAAATATATATTTGTAACAGCTGATGCTAAAAGAAGCTAACAGCGAAATAAAAGTATATGTGACAGGGTGGGGTCAGTCAATTCAGGAATTCCAATTAAATTAACAAATTCCAATTCAATAATTGAAAAAAGGCATCTATGTTCAATTACTTGTCAACAAAATGAAACAGAGAAGCTTTCTTTCAAAGTTTCCATTTCAATTCTAATCACTTCCTTAATTTACTTCAATTCAAATTGACCACAACCCTGGTATGGGACCCACGCATAGACTGATATGGACCCACGAGAGGAAAAGCACATTCATTACAAAGTCATAGGTAACACAGGGCTACTACAGCTGATAGCCATTCAACAGTTCAGTTTCAAGCATGATTGGATAAAAACATTGAGAGAAAAACAACAGCCCCAAAAGTAGAGCACCAAAGGCCTTGGCTGACATACATTTGATGTGGCCTGATGACGTTTTAGGAGACAAAATGGAACGTTTCTGAAATAATTAGATTCCCTAGCCATTCTGAGCTGCTGTTAAGTGTAGCCAAGCTTCCTGCAAGACAACAATCCCGAATCCCCCCAACACACAAACGTGCACACACAGCGTGTCAGGCAAACAATACAGTCTATGGCACAGTCTATGCAGTACATATGGAAATAAATATGATGCATTCTTAAGCTATAAATAAGAGAACTGGTTTACCCTTTGACTTTAAGAGCAGCTGAGTGAAATTCACTAATAATGTGGATGACAAAGAATTGGTAACAATGTGTGGTAACACTATCTCAATGGTATACAGACTTGTGACCTCATGTACGGTATATTGTACAATTAATATATGTATGACCTTTATAACCATGATATGCCATCTGACATAAACATACTGTAACTGCCTATGGAACAGATCCAGCGGAATTCTACTGGCTATGTCATAAAAACTAAAGGTTTGTGTGGCGTCTGTCTGTCTGTCACAGCCAGGGTCAATGTCCCCTCAGCCTGCATCACAGCTCAGATCAATACTGTACACAGACGTGCATGGACCACTCGAATACACCAAATGTGCGCACACACACACACAGAAGTGGGGATAGAAATCATGACATTTACATTTACATTTTAGTCATTTAGCAGACGCTCTTATCCAGAGCGACTTACAGTTAGTGAGCGCATACATTTTCATACTGGCCCCCCGTGGGAAACGAACCCACAACCCTGGTGTTGCAAGAGCCATGCTCTACCAACTGAGCTACAGGGGACTGTATGACCTTTCATGACCTTGATGAAAAGCTTCGCTCCACCCAACAGCAGTTGAGAATCAGCTCATGTGAGATGCTACCACTGACAAGGTTGCTGGTATGTGACAGGTAAAGGACTGGTATGCGAGTTAGAATGGTCCAACTGATATAGTCTCCGTGTCACGCCTGATAAGAGCCTTTTTGTTATAATCTCATAGTTTGCTCTTCTAAAAGCCTGTCAACGCATAGACGTATAAATGAGAAACATTACATTTCTATGTGTCAAATCACTTCACATCACAACCCCCCACATCCTCACTTGGCTTTGGTTTGAGAAAACCTCCCTCGCTTTGGTTAACACATTACATTGTGCCCAATACCCACACTGGCATTGTTGACAGATTCAGGACTTCAAACTTGTCAGTATGTAGAATATTGAGGCACACATGCAATGATGAATCTAGTTTACCCCCAAAGCCTCAGTCTGAGCCAGGCAATCCCCTCAGGCCCGTTAAGTCCGACAATTTAGACAGGCAGCCGAAAGGGCTTTCCTCAGCTCCGCAGGACCCCCAACAACAAACAAGAAGGACACACAGGAAAAAAAGGTACACTCTTAGAAAAAAGGGTTCCAAAAGGGTTCTTCAGCTGTACCCATAGGAGAACCCTTTTTGGTTCCATGTAGAAACCTTTTTGGTTCCAGGTAAAACCATTTTAGGTTCCATGTAGAACCCTCTGTGGAAAGGGTTCTACCTGGAACCAAAACGGGTCCTTCAAAGGGTTCTTCTATGGGGACAGTCAAAGAACTCTTTTAGGTTGTAGATGACAATGTTTTTTCTAAGATTGTACAGTAACTCAGATAGGATCAATGATCATTCATCATCAGTACATAATGTGACGTTACATTATGTTTTACAATCTGCCAAACAAAAACAAAATTCAGAAATAAATAATCATCTTGCTAATTTATATAAATATATGAAGTCATATACTGTATGGGCATAGAAAGGGGAGAGGAGGAGGGAGTTAAGGAGGTAGGGAGGAGAGAGGCGATCCTAGTTGCGCCCGCCGACACTCTCCATCCTATAGACTACAGTGGTGGAGCTGTCCTCGTGGCACTCGGTGGGCACCACCTTTTTCCACAGAGAGTCTTTGAGAGCTAGCTCTTGCTGAAGGCTCTCGTAATCCAAGGGTCCAAAGGTAATATGCTGTTTCAAGCAACACGGGATAACAGATTAGTCTGGGTCTGCCTGCACATGCCACTAGGGTAGCTAAACTAGGTGTGCAAGGGTGTGTGATGCGTGTGTGACTGTGACTGACTATCTATGTGTAGTTGGTAAGTTATTATTCTGTGTATATATGAAATGGACTATGTGTAGGTCTTTCTATGTTTTGTCTATGACTGTTTAGTGTGTGGTGTGGTGTGTCTGGTTTACTCTGACAGAGATGCCACTTGCCTCTAAACACAATGATTAAAAACAATTTTAGACCAACAGGAAAGGATCATTCAAAATGTATTGTAACTTGAGATTTTTTTATTACGAAGCATGCCAAAGCTTGCTGAAAAACTTGAAATTAAACTAAATTAAATGACAATGCCCTCCAAAACGGCAAACCAGTCAATTCCAAAAAATATATAGAATTATCAAACAAACACAAAAAGGCGGTAGTGTTATACTGTAGGTTTTGGGGGGGTGTCAGAAATATTTTTGCTATTTTTACAACCAGAATTATGGGCGCAGTAGCTGGCGGTGGTGTGAAAGAGCTGGGTTTTGATGAATTAACAAGTTGTGGGTGAGTCAAGGCTTGGCCCCTCACTGGCCAATCATATCGTGCTCCATGGCTAAATATGTGGTTGCTTCAAGTTGTGTATTTACGGTCTTTTATGTATTGTGTTGTCATCAACTAGCCTAGTTTGTTAAATAGCCTGCCCCATATTTGCTAAATATGTTGCTCATGTTAGCAGTCTACATTGTTCCAATTGCATTGCTTCAATATGGATATACAATGTTAAACATTGGTTATAGCATTCGCACTGATATAGGGGCTAGGCCTAGAGTAAATTGCAGTCTGGACATGGACATGCCAAGCATAGTGAATAAGCAAGATAACATGTACTAGGCCATTGATAAGGCCTAAAAAGACAGTGTATAATTATAATCAAATTATTATAAAAAATAAACAAAAACATGTTTTAAATAGGCTATGTCTTAATACAGTTACAGGCACCATAATTGCTCCCCGTGGGCGTATAACACAGACAAGTCAACAGACTATGGGAGAGTTTTACGCATACAAACTTTTCACAGGATCTGGATAAAGGTCCAATATAAAGAGAAAGGGGGAATGTCCACTGTTGTACTGCTCGCAACTGTAATGTTTTATAAACATAATGGAAACACCTTATAGATCAAATTTGCACTTCTCCAGAAATAGCAGACGAAACTGCATTGCATTCGAGCCTTGTACGTTCTCACCACAAACCCATGGACGGTGAACATTTCTAATAAGTTTGTTTTTTAAACAAATTAAACAAAAAACAATCCATCTGTTTTTTAAACCAACAACAATATTTCTAAGTAGGATCGAGTCAGAAGCATGATATCATAAATCGCTTCTCTCGTTCCATGGCACTGTGTACACACGTAGGCCAAAATGTCTTTACGCATAACATTCGCATGTCTTTACAAAATACTAGGTTCTTGTTAATTGTATCGTTGCCTATGTGCGAGGTAGATTCTCCAAAGAATTCAACTGTTGATATTGCATTATAGGAGGACTGAATAGCTTGTAGGAGTGTGTCTTTGGTAATCGGATGAGGGGCGTTCTTTGAAAATGGGGTTGGATAGCCTACTTGAACAAGCTAAATGCAGGTACAGTGCCTTGTAAAAGTATTCATCCCCTTTGGCGTTTTTCCTATTTTGTTGCATTACAACCTGTAATTTAAATTGATTTTTTTTGGGGGGGGGGGGGGGGGTTCATGTAATGGACATTTTAGCAGACGCTCTTATCCAGAGCAACTTACAGTTAGTGAATGAATAAATTGTTTCATACTGGCCCCCCGTGGGAAACGAACCCACAACCCTGGTGTTGCAAGCGCCATGCTCTACCAATTGAGCTACACGGGGCATATGTATTCACCCCCTTTGCTATGAAGCCCCTAAATAAGATCTGGTGCAACCAATTACCTTCAGAAGTCACATAATTAGTAAAATAAAGTCCTCCTGTGTGCAATCTAAGTGTCACATGATCTGTCACATGATCTCAGTATATATATACACACCTGTTCTGAAAGGCCCCAGAGTCTGCAACACCACTAAGCAAGGGGCACCACCAAGCAAGCGGCACCATGAAGACCAAGGAGCTCTCCAAACAGGTCAGGGACAAAGTTGTGGAGAAGTACAAACCACGGTTGGGTTATACAAAAAAAATCAGAAACTTTGAACATCCCACGATGCACCATTAAATCCATTATTGAAAAATTGAAAGAATATGGCACCACAAAAAACCTGCCAAGAGAGGGCCGCCCACCAAAACTCACGGACCAGGCAAGGAGGGCATTAATCAGAGAGGCAACAAAGAGACCAAAGATAACCCTGAAGGAGCTGCAAAGCTCCACAGTGGATATTGGAGTATCTGTCCATAGGACCACTTTAAGCCATACACTCCACAGAGCTGAGCTCACGGAAGAGTGGCCAGAAAAAAGCCATTGCTTTTAAGCAAACACATTTGGTGTTCGCCAAAAGGCATGTGGGAGACTCCTCAAACGTATGGAAGAAGGTACACTGGTCAGATGAGACTCAAATTGAGCTTTTTGGCCATCAAGGAAAACACTATGTCTGGTGCAAACCCAACACCTCTCATCCCCCCGAGAACACCATCCCCACAGTGAAGCATGGTGGTGGCAGCATCATGCTGTGGGGATGTTTTTCATCGGCAGGGACTGGGAAACTGGTCAGAATTGAAGGAGTGATGGATGGCACTAAATACAGGGAAATTCTTGCGGGAAACCTGTTTCAGTCTTCCAGATATTTGAGACTGGGACAGAGGTTCACTTTCCAGCAGGACAATGACCCTAAGCATACAGCTAAAGCAACACTCGAGTGGTTTAAGGGGAAACATTTAAATATCTTGGAATGGCCTAGTCAAAGCCCAGACCTCAATCCAATTGAGAATATGTGGTATGACTTAAAGATTGCTGTACACCAGCAGAACCCATCCAACTGGAAGGAGCTGGAGCAGTTTTGCCTTGAAGAATGGGCAAACATCCCAGTGGCTAGATGTGCCAAGCTTATAAAGACATACCCCAAGAGACTTGCAGCTGTAATTGCTGCAAAAGGTAGCTCTACAAAGTATTTACTTTGGGGGGTGGTGAATAGTTATGCACGCTCAATTTTTCATTTTTTTTTTCTTATTTCTTCTTTGTTTCACAAGAAAAAATATTTTGCATCTTCAACGTGGTAGGCATGTTGTGTAAATCAAATTATACAAACCCCCCAAAAATCCATTTTAATTTCAAAGCAGTAGAAAATGTAAAACCTGTTTATTCATAGGCTACTTTTGACTAAAGGCCAGGATAAAGACGCACCTATGCGAAGCTCCAATCAAGGGGGAGGGTAGGCTATGTTTGGTTTTTAAATCAAATTAAACTAAATGCGGGAAACCAATCATTTTTTTATGTTTCTAAATACGAGGTTCACTGGCACAAAAGGCACATCTCTCCTTCCATCCATGGATCTGTGCACCATAGCTAGATAGGCTACACTTCCACCCTCAAAGTTCATGCCATTATCAACTGAGTTACCATTAACACCTGCTTTATGTGAGTCTTAAAACTTCCCATTAGCACTGCATGAAAGTCACTTTTGCACTTGTTTTTTAAGGACACACCTCAAATATTGCCACCCCTCCCACCTCAGTGCAAGCGAGCTGATGTTAGACAGGTAAATCGCCGAACCTGGCTTTAAGACTGGAAAATGCCTGTACGGCAGTTTTAACAAGATGAAATTGCAAACTAACGTTCGTTTGACACTTGTGCCTCCTTAGCGCCAGCTGAAAATAGAGCCCCAAATGTCAATACATTATAGTGTAGCAATTTAGATAACTAAAAATGTGCAGGACAACAATCGTTCTTTAGGAACCCTTATAAGTAACTATTATACTCAGCTACATACAGCCAACTCAGCATCATCAAATCTGGCACATTCTGTTATTCTGGAAGGGTGTGGTATCAATGGAAGAAGGGTGTGTGTGTTAAGGTGTGTGTGGGGAGGGGTGGGATGTGTGTACTCACCCTCTGGTCGCCTCCCTCCCTGCGAGGATCGTGCTTCTTGGCAAAGTGCCTCAGGTTGTCGTAGTTGTGGAAGTTAAAGCGAGACACCAGGTCCTGAAACGCACAGAATGAGAAAGGCATATAGTCAGACAGAGGGAGGGATACAGAGAGAAAGAGAGGGTCAGAGACAGAGAGCGAGACAGACAGAGAGCTCCAGCTAAAAATCTAAACTTGAGCGTGTACCAGAATAGCAGAGGGACTGGGATTCGATCCCACACAAACAGGGGCGTACATGTGATGTGTTGAAGGCCAAGCCAAGGTCACGAGTCAATAGAGTTAAAGAACATTGCTTCCTTGGACAACATGCTGACAGAGATTCCTGGCATTGTTTTCAAGCCCTGAGATCTAACCACTCACTCACTTTGTTATTAAGGAGCAGGTTGGTGTGGGGCCTCTCTCTATGGCCAAGAGCTAGAACAACACATAGCTGTACCTGTACATAACCCCACTGCAATGACTGGGCTTCAATGAGAAAGCGCCTACTAGTTAACTGATAGATTAATTATTAATGACTAATTATTACACCCTGAAACTGTGTATAATGTGTTAGAAATGTGTGAGTGTAGGACCAGTAAAGGATATGGCATTGAGCCACTATTTAGCAATGTGAGTAAGAGTTAGGCCAGACAACAAAGACAACTGAGAAACTAAGATAAAGAGGCCTCCCAATTTAGGGAGGGGAGAAACTGTTATGAAAACATGGTGCAGAATATTGTGAGAACGGCAATAACTGAGTAATGCAGGGAGTAGGGTATGTGTGTGTGTGTGTGTGTGTGTGTGTGTGTGTGTGTGTGTGTGTGTGTGTGTGTGTGTGTGTGTGTGTGTGTGTGTGTGTGTGTGTGTGTGTGTGTGTGTGTGTGTGTGTGTGTGTGTGTATGTGTGTATGCATGTGTGTATATGTGTGTGTGTGTGTGTGAACTGATGGTCAGTAGAGCAGTTTTAGAGTGGAAAACTACAGCCCGCCTACAGAGGGGAGGGATTTTTTTGTATGACGTATGAGTATAAAAGATGGACTCTGAAATTGTGATGGCAGAATTCTCAATGAATAAATATCTCTGACTATGCAGACCGGGACTCTGGCCGTTACTTAAATCCCAAAAGACTTACAACCTTTTGGGAGACGCACAGAGACACTAAAATAGTTTGTTAAATAATTCACGTAACATTAACTTATGGCAACAGCTCTGGTGGACATTCCTGCAGTCAACATGCCAATTACACGCTCCCTCAAAACTTGAGACATCTGTGGTATTGTGTTGTGTGACAAAACTGCACATTGTAGTGGCCTTTTATCGTCCCCCGCACAAGGTGCACCTGTGTAATGATCATGCTGTTTCATCAGCTTTTTGATACGCCACACCTGTCAGGTGGATGGATTATCTTGGCAAAGGAGAAATGCTCACCAAAAGGGATGTAAACAAATTTGTGCACAACATTTTAGCGAAATAAGCTTTTTGTGTGTATGGAACATTTCTGGGAACTTCCATTTCAGCTCATGAAACATGGGACCAACACTTTACATGTTGCGTTTATATTTTTGCTCAGTGCACATAGTCTAGTGAGTTTGCATAGGGTCAGTGCAAGATAGAGTCAGTGCAGATAGTTTGGGTGCCATTGACTATTTAGCAGTCTGGCTATTTAGCAATCTTATGGCTTGCCTGTTGGTCTGAGAGCCGATGCTCCGGTATCGTTTGCTGGACGTTTAAAACAATTTTTTCTAGTCATTTAGCAGACGCTCTTATCCAGAGCGACTTACAGTTAGTGAGTACATACATATTTTTTTTCATACTGGTCCCCCATGGGAAACAAACCCACAACCCTGGCGTTGCAAACGCCATGCTTTACCAACTGAGCAAAACGGGACTGAACAGTGAACAGTCTATGGCTTGGGTGGCTGGAGTCTTTGGGACGGCAGGTAGCTTAGTGGGTAAGAGCGTTGTGCCAGTAACCGAAAGGTCGCTGGTTCTAATCCCCGAACCGACTAGGTGAAAAATCTGTCGATGTGCCCTTGAGCAAGGCACTTAACCCTAATTGCTCCTGTAAGTCGCTCTGGATAAGAGCGTCTGCTAAATGACTAAAATGTAAATGTAAATGTTTGGCAATTTCCGGCCCTTCCTCTGACACTACCTGATATAGAGGTCCTGGATGGCAGAGAGTTTGGCCCCAGTGATGTACTGGGCTGTCCGCACCACCCCCTGTAGCGCTTTGTGGTCAAGGGCGGTGCATTTCCATACCAAGCGGTGATGCTGCCAGTCAAGATGCTCTCGATGGTGCAACTGTATAACTTTTTGAGGATCCGAGGGCCCATGCCAAATCTTTTCAGCCTACTGAGGGGAAGAGGCGCTGCTGTGCCCTCTTCATGACTGTGCAGGTGTGTGTGGACCATGTTACGTCCTTAGTGATGTGGACGCCAAGGAACTTTAAGCTCTCAACCCGCTCCACAACAGCCCTGTCGATGGGGCGTGCTCTCCCCTCTTTCTCCTATAGTCCACGATCAGCTCCTTGGTCTTACTTACATTGAGGGAGAGGTCGTTGTCCTGGCACCACACTGCTAAGTCTGACCTCCACCCTGTAGCCTGACTCATCGCCGTCGGTGATCAGGCCTACCACCGTCGTGTCATCAGCAAACAATGATGGTGTTGGAGTCGCGCGTGGCGACGCAGTCGTGGGTGAACAGGGGGTACAAGAGGGGACTAAGCACACACCCCTGAGGGGCTCCCGTGTTGAGGGTCAATGTGGCGGAGGTGTTGTTGCCTACCCTCACCACCTGGGGCCGGCCCGTCAGGAAGTCCAGGATCCAGTTGCAGAGGGAGGGGCTTGGTGATGAGCTTGGAGGGGACAATGGTGTTGAACGCTGAGCTGAAGTCTATGAACAGCATTCTCACGTAGTTATTTCCCTTCTTGTCCAGGTGGGAGAAGGCAGTGTGAAGTGCAATTGAGATTGCTTCATCTGTGGATCTGTTGGGCCGGTGTGCGAATTGGAGTGGGTCTAGGGCAGGGGTAGGCAACCCTGTTCCTGGAGTGCCGCAGGTACTGCATGATTTTGTTCCAACTAGGCACCACACCTGACCAACTGAGCTAATTGATCAGTTCAGTGATTGCCTACATTCAACAGACCTGGTCTTCTAGGTCAGTTGGATCAAAAAACATGAAGTGCCTGCGGCACTCCAGGACCAGGGTTTCCTACTCCTGGACTAGGGTGTCTGGGATGATGGTGTTGATGTGTGTCATGACCAGCCTTTCAAAGCACTTCATAATTAACTTTTGTGTTTGTGTGTCTTTATGTACACCTGGCTGCACAATGAGTTTCCTCAATGGAACAATTAAGTTTGAAATGAATTGAATTAAATTGTAACATGAAGAATAGCTCATGTCCCAACTCAAACTGTGTGCATTCATCTCACTTCCCCTGCGATGCAGCAAAATAGAGAAATCAGACAGTGACATATTAATGAATAATGCATGGCGGGAAGGAGAAAAACGACTAGGCAGAGAGGGAGATGACAAGATGCTGTTTTGGGCCGGGCGATACACTAAATAAGATCTATATGTCTGTGTGGCCTTGTCAGAGCAAAAGGTGTGTAAATCGCAGATGCTTTAGGGAGGAGTATCTGGGCTAGGCTAGCTCATTCCTCATGGTAGATGGATTCATATGCAGTGGCGGCACTGTGATGGAGAATGGAGACAGGCTCCCACTGCCCTGGCCACTCCCCAGGGTGCTCTAGTGTATCACTGCTTAGCTTGGAGGATACCTTTCAAGGCTGTGGAAACACTTTCACCCAGTTCTCCTCTGAATCATTCAGATGTTCATTGGCAAACTTCAGACGGGCATGTATATATGCTTTCTTGAGCAGGGGGACCCTGCGGGCGCTGCAGGATTTCAGTCCTTCACGGCGTAGTGTGTTACCAATTGTTTTCTTGGTGACTATGGTCCCAGCTGCCTTGAGTTCATTGACAAGATCCTCCCGTGTAGTTCTGGGCTGATTCCTCACCGTTCTCATGATCATTGCAACTCCACGAGGTGAGATCTTGCATGGAGCCCCAGGCCGAGGGAGATTGACAGTTCTTTTGTGTTTCTTCCATTTGCGAATAATCGCACCAACTGTTGTCACCTTCTCACCAAGCTGCTTGGCAATGGTCTTGTAGCCCATTCCAGCCTTGCTTAGGTCTACAATCTTGTCCCTGACATCCTTGGAGAGCTCTTTGGTCTTGGCCATGGTGGAGAGTTCGGAATCTGATTGATTGATTGCTTCTGTGGACAGGTGTCTTTTATACAGGTAACAAACTGAGATTACGAGCACTCCCTTTAAGAGTGTGCTCCTAATCTCAGCTCGTTACCTGTATAAAAGACACCTGGGAGCCAGAAATCTTTGTGATTGAGAGGGGGTCAAATACTTATTTCCCTCATTAAAATGAAAATCAATTTACAACATTTTTGACATGCATTTTTCTGGATTTTTGTTGTTGTTATTCTGTCTCTCACTGTTCCAATAAACCTACCATTAAAATTATAGACTGATCATTTCTTTGTCAGTGGGAAAATGTACAAAATCAGCAGGGGATCAAATACTTTTTTCCCCTCACTGTATTACCTCAGCGAACTGACAGTGCTCCGGACGGGCCGCCCCACCTCTTGCCTCGTGAATGACGTCATTACTGGTTCAAGAGACAGTACACATTTTTTATAATCTATGCAAATGCTGTTTATGAGTACAATAAAATAAATTGTTGATCAGTACAGATTGTAATCTGTAGCCCCATGAAATCAGCCAAAACAAGCTCAATAACTCATGCACACACTCCTATTGAATATGCATTCACCTGTATTGTGGATAGGCCTAGGCCACATCTTGATTTACCCAGTTTATCAATAGAGATTTACAATTCAAATAAATGATTACCATTATGTTATGTAGTTAGATTGGTAAAAACAAAGTTAATTTGATTGTATAATTGATTCATTAATGCATACATGGCTGTCTCTGAAAAATGTAATGATATTGAACTCAAAAGATGCCCAACGATTGAACAGAGCAGTAGCTGAGATTATCTGTCTGGATCAAGTGCCATTCTGTGACTTTGACTAATATGCTTTCTTTTTTTGCTGTGGTATCGTTTTGTTATCATTTTGGTATCGAGTATCGTGATGTATTGAGTATTGTGACACTAAACCTGGTATCGAAGTCAAAATGATGGTATCGTGTGTGTGCGTGCGTGTGTCTGCGTCCGTACCGTGCAGAACTGGATGCCTCTGACGCTGTTGCCCAGCTTGTCCAGTGGTGGAGACCAGCACATGATGCCCATGACATTGGGTACTACCAGTAGGATGCCCCCTGCCACGCCCGACTTGGCTGGCAAGCCCACCTTGAGACACACAGACACAGAGAGGAGAGGTTACCCACAACCCTATGGAAATCAGGGCCCATATAAAAAAATGTAAAAGCGCCTCAGAGTGCTAATCTAGAAACAGCTCCCCCCTGTCCATATAATCTTATTCATTGTGATCTAAAACACTAAACTGATCCTATAGAGTCTCACAGTGAATACAGGCCCAGGGCTTTATACACACAGAATGAATGAGACAGACACACAGACAGAGTGAAATTGAAGGAAGTAAATACAGCATAGGACCTATTACAATCTCTCTCAAGAGAAGTGTCGATGACTTACAATATCAATTACATTCTTTATGCAACATTTGCATTTGACATTTGGATTCGTATTCAAGGGTTAGTGGCTTTAAATAGATAATCAAATGGGATGAAAGTGGAAGTTAATTGAGGATTGATTAGCACTCATGCCAAGTAGGATCATAGCATGTAGTGTACCATGGGTACAGCTATACAAGGACTGAACAAGACAGGTTGGTTTTCGACACAGTATATTATCTCTCTCTTTATATCTCTTTTTCAATCTGTATTTCCATCTCTCCCTCTTTCTGTAGGCTATCAGGAAGAGTGTGTCCTGTCCTATGCCAATCATGTGGCATCAAGACACCGATGTTTAGCTATCCGATGGGGAATGATGACAAAATAGAGCATCCTTGCCAACCAAACCCTGAGGCCTACAGGTAACTGCCAAAATAATGGAAACACTTGAGTAAATGAGGGATACAAAGTACAGTCCATTCGGAAAGTATTTAGACCCCTTGACTTTTTCCAAATTTTGTTATATGTTACAGCCTTATTCTAAAATAGATTCAATAAAACATTTTCCTCATCAATCTACACACAATACCCCATAATGACAAAGCGAAAACAGGTTTTTAGACATTTTTGCAAATGTATTCAAAAAATAAAAAACAGAAATACCTTATGTACATAAGTATTCAGACCCTTTGCTATGAGACTCTAAATTGTGCTCAGGTGCACCCTGTTTCCATTGATCATCCTTGAATGGTCTGATGAAACCAAGATTGAACTCTTTGGCCTGAATGCCAAGTGTCACGTCTGGAGGAAACCTGGCACCATCCCTATGGTGAAGCATGGTGGTGGCAGCATCATGCTATGGGGATGTTTTCAGAGGCAGGGACTGAGAGATCCTTGATGAAAACCTGCTCTAGAGCGCTCAGGACCTCAGACTGGGGCAAAGGTTCACCTTCCAACAGGACAACGACCCTAAGCACACAGCCAAGACAACGCAGGAGTGGCTTTGGTACACGTCTCTGAATGTCCTTGAGTGGCCCAGCCAGAGCCCGGACTTGAACATCTCTGGAGAGACCTGAAAATAGCTGTGCAGTGACGCTCTCTATCCAACCTGACAGAGCTGTAGAGGATCTGCAGAGAAGAATGGGAGAAACTCCCCAAATACAGGTGTGCCAAGCTTGTAGCGTCATACCCAAGAAGAATCAAGGCTGTAATCACTGCCAAAGGTGCTTCAACAAAGTACTGAGTAAAGGGTCTGAATACTTATGTAAACGTGATATTTCAGTAAAAAAATATTTGCAAAAAAACTGTTTTTGCTTTGTCATTATGGGGTATTGTGTGTAGACTGATGAGGAAAAACAACAATTTAATCCATTTTAGAATAAGGCTGTAACGTAACAATATTTGGAAAAAGTCAAGAGGTCTGAATACTTACCAAATGCACTGTATATTGAAAGCAGGTGCTTCCACACAGGTATGGTTCCTGAGTTAATTAACCAATTAACATTCCATCATGCTTAGGATCATGTATAAAAATGCTGGGCAGGCCATTATTTTGGCCATAATTTTGGCTACCATGGCTATGCCCCCCCATAGGATGACAATGCCCCATCCCACAGGGCACGAATGGTCACTGAATGGTTTGATGAGCATGAAAACGATGTAAACCGTATGCCATGGTCGTCTCAGTCACCAGATCTCAATGCAATTGAACACTTATTTGAGATTCTTGAGCGGCGCCTGAGACAGCGTTTTCTACCACCATCAATAAAACACAAAATTATGGAATTTTGCAAGTGGGGAGAGAGTGAGACAGGGTGGAGGAGGAGGCTTGGCTTGTAATGTCAGCAGGCTACAGTAGCCTATGCTTCGGAGGAGGAAGTAGCCTAAACACGCACAAACACTGGCAAAGATTTTCAGCAGGCAGGCAGACACTGGAATAAGTTTGAGTGACGACTTTGCATAGGCATTTTGTTTCTTGTGGGACTGGAAAAAAATGCCCGGAATGTAAAATAACGTTATTAACCGGTTCCCATGCTTTTAAAATAACGGTTCTGTTCCGGAACAGTATAGATCACTTCCGTTCCCGGTTCTGATTCTGTTCCTCAAAAAATGTTTTGTTCCCTGAACTTGTTCCCGCCCATTCCAGACACTTTTCTTATATATGCCAAGGTGAACCTGTTCTGGCTTGTGGTGACCCAACACCCTATTAAGACACTTTATGTTGGTGTTTCCTTTATTTTGGCAGCTACCTGTATTTTACAGCTTGTCAAAACGACCTCCATGTTTAAGTACTAGATGCCAATGCACATTTCTCCACGTTCAAAACACCTAATGTAACCCTCTCACTATGAGTTGGAGTCCGAAAGAGCAGCAGTCAATTCAGTACAGTTAACTGAAATCCTTCTACAAAATGCAAACTTATGAATTGACTGAATGAAAAGATGGACTGAGTCCAGGCCTGATGAGGACCAGTGACACATAATGGGTTAAAATGTCATCATCGAACCCATTTCCTCCTTTAATCCAATTATTTGAGAGAGGTGACTCCGGCTTTTTGCTGAGGTCATGTCCCCCAGGCATAACATCTGATTGGATAATCCCCCCATGGGAGCTTTAGGTAGACCAGTGGCCTGGTTTGATCTGGCATGAACAGCGACTGGAGGGACTGGAGCCCAGTGGAGGGCAACTGGGGACATTGTGGGGCAGAGAAAAGGCTGTATGAGACAAAGTCAAGCAATTGGGCATTGTGTTCCAATAGCTACGTAATTCGTGACACGTCGCAAATGATGAGTCCGCGCTATCTGATGTAAGACAGAAGGGCAGATACTGGTCAGAGAGGGGCAGTATTGGGTAGAAAGACCTGTGCTGCCACAGAAGTCAGAGAGAGGTCAATGTTGTGGTATGACACTGTTGTATCGCGGTGCAACTCTATGAAGTGTTGTGTCGTATTCAGACTCACGTGGAAGGCGAACTGGCCAGAGAAGTCGTACATGCCGCAGGAGTGCATGAGGCTCAGTGTGTCGCGCACCGCCTCCGGGCTCAGAACGCGCTCGGCTGTGATTCGACAGAAGCCGCCGTTGGCCAGGGTGGCCGCCATGACACTGGCGCTCTCGCAGGTCACCTCGATGGAGCACAGCTGGAGGGACACAGACAGTTACAACACAAATGTAAGATCAAGCCAAAACAGTCATATTGATACAAATAAATGAATATAGAACAAACACACACACACACACCAGGTTTTTCATTATCCGGTAATTGACGGCTTTTGGCCGATATTGTTTTTTTAAAGCCGATAAATATAATTGTTGCTGACCAAATTGACCAGGAGAAAACAATCCAGTTGCAAAATAATGCTTTTTATTCATTGATGGAAATACCAGTCGATGGAAATACATTTGACCGTCCTGCTTATCGGTCTATAGGTTAATTTGTATAATTTAGTGGAATTAAATTGCTGCGTGTGCATTTTCATTAGTCGTCATGTATTTTATTTATCACATGCGCACAGCATACAGAGCCTATTTTGAGTGGAATATCACCTCAGTGCTAGAGCTGCAGCACCTCAGCTCATTGCTGCTTTTATATGCCCTGTCATTGCACAACAATTCCAAACAGTTTTGATGGCCACGATTAAAAATAGCTACTTTTTTTTATTTCTCAACTGGTAATTGAAGCGCGCCTCCTACTCACCATGCAACTGCATAGACAACAGTAGACAGGCTATCAGCGTGTCACCCACCACTTTGCAATGTGAGCTGGAGGCAGTATGCATTTTGAAAACGGATACTTATTGTTTGAAACCTGAACGTTTACTTCATATTATGAGGCATGGTTACCTTGCTTCATAGTAGCCTAGGCAAAATCCTACCATTGAAACGTGGAGGCAATTATTTTATAAAGGCTCATATGCCATTGAAACCAGCATTTCTCTCCTGTTTGATTGGTTTTCAAATCAACTTTCTTTCGTTGTCCAGAAGCCAAAGGGACAACGCTAGTCATATTAGCAAACCATCCTAGTTGTTGCATCTTTAGATTCCCCCTGTTTCTAAGTTTCTGAGAGTTTCATGTCTGTCACATATGGAACAGCTCGCATAAGGTGCGCTGTTTAGAATGGTGTTTTCCCGCAAATTGCATTTTGGCATATGTTTTAAAATGACATTTTATTGTCTGCTTCATTACAGGAGTTGCATGTTCTGTTAAAATAGATTACCATAATCTAAAATGTGATTTATGTCATTCTGAGCACCTTGGGTGGAAGCCCTTATGGGTTACGCACACAATGCATATGGGTCCGGTAAATTTCTTAAAATGGCCAGTAAATTAAAATCTTCCCGGTCACGTTGTCCAGCGCCACATTTTCCTAATGGAAACCATGACACGCACAAACACACACACAAAGAAGAATATATAAAACATATACCATAATCAAAGTACATTTAAATGCGCAGAGTATAATGTATCCGCTAGCACTGCTCCCACTCTCTTGCCCTTCTATGGTTGTAAGAGAGGCTCCAGGTTATGTGAGTTCTCAGGGGGCCAAGGCAAACATGACTAACATAACTGGAGCCCATCCGTCAGGGGGCTGTCAGCGCCAGAGTGACACCAGAGAGGAAGGCTGTCGACACCCAAAGGGATGTGACATCAACACGGCTATCCCATTACACACAGGCGCGTGCACACATTCCCCCCCCCCAGAAAAGCACATGAGCAACGTCACACAGTCACCAAACCCAGAGAGTGAGATGAAGGAGTTTAGCGTGTTTGCGATTGTTCTATTCATTCCAATCTAGCCATTACAATAAGCCCGTCCTCCCCATTTCTCCCTCCATCAGCCTTCACTGGCAGTGGGTTGTTTGTGTGGGACATCTGTCTGTACGTACCTGGAAGTAGAAATCCAGAATGGACGTCATGTCTGTCCCTTCAGGAAAACACTGCAGAGAGAGAGAGGGGCAGGGAGAGGGAGGGAGAACTATGACTGAACAGAGACCGATTACCTCTGTGCAATATATTTTTACATGACTGGTGTCCTGTTCTGTATCACTTTAGCGACCTTAGATTATACAGTGAGGGAAAAAAGTATTTGATCCCCTGCTGATTTTGTACGTTTGCCCACTGACAAAGAAATTATCAGTCTATAATTTGAATGGTAGGTTTATTTGAACAGTGAGAGACAGAATAACAACAACAAAAATCCAGAAAAACGCATGTCAAAAATGTTATAAATTGTAATGAGGGAAATAAGTATTTGACCCCTTCTCAATCAGAAAGATTTCTGGCTCCCAGGTGTCTTTTATACAGGTAAAAGAGCTGAGATTAGGAGCACACTCTTAAAGGGAGTGCTCCTAATCTCAGCTTGTTACCTGTATAAAAGACACCTGTCCACAGAAGCAATCAATCAATCAGATTCCAAACTCTCCACCATGGCCAAGACCAAAGAGCTCTCCAAGGATGTCTGGGACAAGATTGTAGACCTACACAAGACTGGAATGGGCTACAAGACCATCGCCAAGCAGCTTGGTGAGAAGGTGACAACAGTTGGTGCGATTGTTCGCAAATGGAAGAAACACAAAAGAACTGTCAATCTCCCTCGGCCTGGGGCTCCATGCAAGATCTCACCTCGTGGAGTTGCAATGATCATGAGAACGGTGAGGAATCAGCCCAGAACTACACGGGAGGATCTTGTCAATGATCTCAAGGCAGCTGGGACCATAGTCACCAAGAAAACAATTGGTAACACACTACGCCGTGAAGGACTGAAATCCTGCAGCGCCCGCAAGGTCCCCCTGCTCAAGAAAGCACATGTACAGGGCCGTCTGAAGTTTGCCAATGAACATCTGAATGATTCAGAGGAGACCTGGGTGAAAGTGTTGTGGTCAGATGAGACCAAAATGGAGCTCTTTGGCATCAACTCAACTCGCCGTGTTTGGAGGAGGAGGAATGCTGCCTTTGACCCCAAGAACACCATCCCCACCGTCAAACATGGAGGTGGAAACATTATGCTTTGGGGGTGTTTTTCTGCTAAGGGGACAGGACAACTTCACCGCATCAAAGGGACGATGCACAGGGCCACGGAACCTCCTTCCCTCAGCCAGGGCATTGAAAATGGGTAGTGGATGGTTATTCCAGCATGACAATGACCCAAAACACACGGCCAAGGCAACAAAAGGAGTGGCTCAAGAAAAAGCACATTTAAGGTCCTGAAGTGGCCTAGCCAGTCTCCAGACCTTAATCCCATAGAAAATCTGTGGAGGGAGCTGAAGGTTCGAGTTGCCAAACGTCAGCCTCGAAACCTTGGACTTGGAGACTTAGAGAAGATCTGCAAAGAGGAGTGAGACAAAATCCCTCCTGAGATGTGTGCAAACCTGGTGGCCAACTACAACAAACGTCTGACCTCTGTGATTGCCAACAAGGGTTTTGCCACCAAGTACTAAATCATGTTTTGCAGAGGGGTCAAATACTTATTTCCCTTATTAAAATGCAAATCAATTTATAACATTTTTGACATGCGTTTTTCTGGATTTTTGTTGTTGTTATTCTTTCTCTCACTGTTCAGATAAACCTACCATTAAAATTATAGACTGATCATTTCTTTGTCAGTGGGCAAACGTACAAAATCAGCAGGGGATCAAATACTTTTTTCCCCTCACTGTATATATAACTCAGCAAAAAAAGAAACGTCCCCTCACTGTCAACTGCGTTTATTTTCAGCAAATATGTGTAAATGTGTGTGAACATAAGATTCAACAACAGACAAACTGAACAAGTTCCACAGACATGTGACTAACATAAATGGAATAATGTGTCAAAATCAAAAGTAACAGTCAGTATCTGGTGTGGCCACCAGCTGCATTAAGTACTGCAGTGCATCTCCTCCTCATGGACTGCACCAGATTTGCCAGTTCTTGCTGTGAGATGTTACCCCACTCTTCTACCAAGGCACCTGCAAGTTCCCAGACATTTCTGGGAGGAATGTCCCTAGCCCTCACCCTCCGATCCAACAGGTCCCAGACGTGCTCAATGGGATTGAGATCCGGACTCTTTGCTGGCCATGGCAGAACACTGACATTCCTGTCTTGCAGGAAATCACGCACAGAATGAGTAATATGGCTGGTGGCATTGTCATGCTGGAGGGTCATGTCAGGATGAGCATGCAGGAAGGGTACCACATGAGGAAGGAGGATGTCTTCCCTGTAATGCACAGCGTTGAGATTGCCTGCAATGACAACAAGCTCAGTCCGATGATGCTGTGACACACCGCACCCAGACCATGACGGACCCTCCACATCCAAATCGATCCCGCTCCAGAGTACAGGCCTCGGTGTAATGCTCATTCCTTCGACGATAAATGCGAATCCGACCATCACCCCTGGTGAGACAAAACCGCGACTTGTCAGTGAAGAGCACTTTTTGCCAGTCCTTTCTGGTCCAGCGACGGTGGGTTTGTGCCCATAGGCAAGTTTGATGCAGACCTGCCTTACAACAGGCCTACAAGCCCTCAGTCCAGCCTCTCTCAGCCTATTGCGGACAGTCTAAGCACTGATGGAGGGATTGTGTGTTCCTGGTGTAACTCGGGCAGTTGTTGTTGCCATCCTGTACCTGACCTGCAGGTGTGATGTTCGGATGTACCGATCCTGTGCAGGTGCTGTTACACATGGTCTGCCACTGCAAGGACGATCAGCTGTCCGTCCTGTCTCCCTGTAGCGCTGTCTTAGGCGTCTCACAGTACGGACATTGCAATTTATTTCCCTGGCCACATCTGCAGTCCTCATGCCTAAGGCACATTCACGCAGATGAGCAGGGACCCTGGGCATCTTTCTTTTGGTGTTTTTCAGAGTCAGCAGAAAGACCTCTTTAGTGTCCTAAGTTTTCATAACTGTGACCTTAATTGCCTACCGTCTGTAAGCTGTTAGTGTCTTAACGACCGTTACACAGGTACATGTTCATTAATTGTTTATGCATGGGAAACAGTGCTTAAACCCTTTACAATGAAGATCTGTGAAGGCTTGTAGGCCTATTATATATTATATTAAAATATTAAATTAAAATATATTAAATTAAATTATATTAATTAAGTTATTTGGATTTTTACTAATTATCTTTGAAAAGACAGGGTCCTGAAAAAGGGAAGTTTCTTTTTTTGCTGAGATATATATATTAGCATCAGTCAAAAGTTTGGACACCACCTCATTCAAGGGTTTTTCTTTATTTTTACTATTTTCTACATTGTAGAATAATAGTGAAGACATCAAAACTATGAAATAACACATACGGTGGGGAGAACAAATATTTGATACACTGCCGATTTTGCAGGTTTTCCTACTTACAAAGCATGTAGAGGTCTGTAATCATAGGTACACGTCAACTGTGAGAGACGGAATCTAAAACAAAAATCCAGAAAATCACATTGTATGATTTTTAAGTAATTAATTTGCATTTTATTGCATGACATAAGTATTTGATACATCAGAAAAGCAGAACTTAATATTTGGTACAGAAACCTTTGTTTGCAATTACAGAGATCATTCGTTTCCTGTAGGTCTTGACAAGATTTTGGCCCACTCCTCCATACAGACCTTCTCCAGATCCTTCATGTTTCGGGGCTGTCGCTGGGCAATACGGACTTTCAGCTCCCTCCAAAGATTTTCTATTGGGTTCAGGTCTGGAGACTGGCTAGGCCACTCCAGGACCTTGAGATGCTTCTTACGGAGCCAGTCCTTAGTTGCCCTGGCTGTGTGTTTCGGGTCGTTGTCATGCTGGAAGACCCAGCCACGACCCATCTTCAATGCTCTTATTGAGGGAAGGAGGTTGTTGGTCAAGATCTCGCGATACATGGCCCCATCCATCCTCCCCTCAATACGATTCAGTCGTCCTGTCCCCTTTGCAGAAAAGCATCCCAAAAGAATGATGTTTCCACCTCCATGCTTCACGGCTGGGATGGTGTTCTTGGGGTTGTACTCATCCTTCTTCCAAACCCGGCGAGTGGAGTTTAGACCAAAAAGCTCTATTTTTGTCTCATCAGACCACATGACCTTCTCCCATTCCGCATCTGGATCATCCAGATGGTCATTGGCAAACTTCAGACAGGCCTGGACATGCGCTGGCTTGAGCAGGGGGACCTTGTGTGCGCTGCAGGATTTTAATCCATGACGGCGTAGTGTGTTACTAATGGTTTTCTTTGACACTGTGGTCCCAGCTCTCTTCAGGTCATTGACCAGGTCCTGCCGTGTAGTTCTGGGCTGATCCCTCACCTTCCTCATGATCATTGATGCCCCACGATGTTATGGCTATGGTTCAACCCAGCACTCAGAGAAACCAACACGACAAAGGGAGTGGAAGAAACAAAAATATTTTAATAAAAGTTCAAATTGTCTTAGTCCAAAAACAACTGAAGTAAAGGAACAGAGTGGGCTAGTCGGCTCCGGAGGAAGGAGAGGCTGAGGCAGGCAGGCAGGCAGGCAGGCAGGCAGGCAGGCCGACAGGCAGGAAGGCAGGCAGGTTGGGAGGTATGTCCGAACTGAAGACAAAACAAACGACAGGTTAAGGAGAGTGGAGAGCCAGGCTGAAGACAAAGACAAAATAACTTTACTGGTGAGCCAAGTTACCGCTCTGGTAAGAACAACGATCTGGCGCCGGTGGAGAGCCATGCCCAGGAATAAGTAGTGCAGGTTGATGAGAGAATAGGATGCAGCTGCGTAGGCAGGAATCACTGGAAACAACCCGCAGCTGCACAGGAGAGGCAGATCCTGAGCACGCCCCCTGCTCCACTCCAGACACACCCACATAAAGGGGACAAACACACATACAACAGAAAAAGAGGGGACAAAACAAGGAGGAAGGGAAACAGAAAAGGGAGAGACAAGCTGCCCACATAACAGTACCCCCCCCCTCAATGGTCGCCACCTGGCGACCCACCAGGCCTGTCAGGGTTGTCGTGATGGAAGTCCGTGATCAGCTGAGGATCCAACACAAAACGCTTAGGGACCCAAGACCTCTCCTCTGGTCCATAACCTTCCCAATCGACTAGGTATTGGAGACCCCTACCCCGCCTCCGAGAGTCCAGGAGCCTACTGACGGTGTAGGCCGGATGGTCGTCAATGAGGCGAACAGGTGGAGGTGGATCAGCCGGCGGACACAAAAGGCTGGAGGACACAGGTTTCAGTTGGGAGACGTGGAAGGTAGGGTGTATTTTCATGGCTGAAGGCAACTTCAAACGAACCGCAGCGGGGTTAATGATGGATTCCACCACAAACGGACCCAGGTACCGAGGAGACAGCTTGCGTGATTTGGTACGAAGAGGTACGTTCTTAGATGACAGCCAAACCTCTTGACCAGGATGAAACACAGGTGCGGGAGTCCTGCTCCTATCCGCTGTTGTCTTGTTCCTGTCGGTGGTCCGAAGCAATGCTTCCCGAGCGTCGCTCCACACTCTCTGGCAGCGGCGGAGGTTCTCCTGAACCGAAGGAACAGCCAATTCCTTCTCCTGAGCAGGAAACAGAGGGGGTTGATAACCCATGGTAACCTCGAAGGGTGAAAGACCGGTGGCAGAGGCGGTGAGGGAGTTGTGGGCGTACTCTATCCAGGGCAGATGTTTAGCCCAGGATGATGGATGTTGAGCAGCCACACAACGAAGGGTTGCTTCGAGGTTTTGATTGGCTCTTTCTGTTTGACCGTTGGTCTGGGGATGAAACCCTGAGGACAGACTAACGGAAGCACCCAAAGCAGAACAGAAACCCTTCCAAACACGGGAAGTAAACTGTGGGCCTCTATCAGATACGATGTCCACAGGTATTCCATGGGGACGGAATACATGTTGGACTAGGAGGTCCGCTGTCTCACTGGCAGACGGTAATTTTGGTAATGCTATATAGTGGACAGATTTAGAGAATCTGTCCACAATGGTAAGTATAGTATCATTACCTTCAGACTTGGGTAGGCCGGTGACAAAATCCATGGCAATGTGGGACCAGGGACGGCTGGGAACTGGGAGGGGTAGCAGCAGCCCCGAAGGGGACTGATGGGAGGCTTTGCCCCGAGCACAGGTTGAACAGGCTGCCACAAAAGCCCGAACGTCAGTTTCCATTGAAGGCCACCAAAAATGTCTCCTAAGCAGCGTCAACGTGCGTCTCATCCCAGGGTGACCAGCAAAACGGGAGGTGTGAATCCACTGCAACACCTGAGACCGGACCGTCTCGGGAACAAAGAGTAGGTTGGGAGGTCCATCACCCGGTCCCGGGTCCGTGGCAAGTGCAGTCTTCACAAGAGACTCGATCTCCCACTGAACAGCCGCCACGACGCATGAGGAAGGCAGGACTGCCTCAGGCTCGCTGGTCTCCGAAGGGTCAGCAAACTGGCGGGACAAAGCATCTGGTTTAACATTTCTTGACCCCGGTCTGTATGTAAGAATAAAGTTAAACCTACTAAAAAACAGGGCCCATCTGGCTTGGCGTGAGTTGAGTCTCTTAGTGGCTTGGATGTAAGCCAAGTTTTTGTGGTCAGTCCAGACCACAAACGGCAATTCAGCTCCATCCAGCCAGTGCCGCCATTCTTCCAGTGCAAGCTTGACCGCCAGCAGTTCCCGGTTTCCAACGTCGTAATTCCGTTCTGTGGGTGACAATTTCTTGGAGAAAAAAGCACAGGGGTGAAGCCTTTGGTCAGTGGGGGAGCGCTGGGAGAGGACTGCTCCCACACCTGAGTCCGACGCGTCCACCTCCACAACAAACTGCAGAGAGGTATTGGGGTGTATCAACACGGGGGAGGTGGAAAACAGTTCCTTCAAAACCCCTACCGCCTGCTCCGCCTCAGGGGACCACCGAAAAGGGACTTTAGGAGATGTGAGTCTTGTAAGGGGTGCCACCACTCTACTAAAACCCTTCATGAATCTACGGTAGAAGTTAGCAAAGCCCAAAAATCGTTGAAGTTGCTTACGGGTGGTGGGTGTGGGCCATTCCGTCACTGCCCGGATCTTCTCGGGGTCCGCCTTCACCTGCCCGCTCTCAATTATGAATCCAAGGAACGATGTAGACTGTTTGTGGAACTCACACTTCTCTGCTTTGACATACAGCTTGTTCTCCAAGAGCCGTTGAAGGACTTGACGGACGTGTGACTCATGCTCCTCGGGTGACTTGGAAAAAACAAGAATATCATCCAGGTATACAAAGACAAAACGGTTCAAAAAATCCCTAAGAACATCGTTCACCATGGCTTGGAAAACCGCAGGGGCATTTGAAAGCCCAAAGGGCATGACCAAATACTCAAAATGTCCCAGTGGAGTGTTGAAAGCGGTTTTCCACTCATCTCCCTTTCGGATTCGGACAAGGTGATAAGCATTCCTGAGGTCGAGCTTGGAAAACACTGTGGCGCCATGCAGAGGTTCAAAAGCTGAGTTGATGAGTGGAAGGGGATACTTGTTTTTAACAGTTATGTTGTTTAAACCCCTGAAATCGATACAGGGGCGTAACGACTTGTCCTTCTTTTCCACGAAAAAGAAACCTGCACCCAAAGGAGACGACGAGGGACGGATTATGCCCGAGACCAGAGAATCACCAATGTACTGCTCCATTGCCTCTCTTTCCGGTCGGGACAGATTGTATAACTGACTAGAGGGCAAGGGAGCACCAGGAAGCAGTTCAATAGGGCAATCATAAGGCCTATGTGGTGGTAGAGACAGAGCCTTGTCCTTACTGAAAACCTCCGCTAAGTCATGGTATTCTTTGGGGACAGATGACAGATCAAGAGGAGCTGAGGGAGGAGTTGGGTTACACTTAGTGGGGGGAACCGCTGACCTCAGGCACACGGAATGGCAGTTAGTGCTCCAACTGAGAATGGTGTGACGTGTCCAATCAATTTGTGGGTTGTGAAGAGCCAACCAGGGGAAGCCAAGGATTAGGGAGGTAGCTGAGCCAGACATAACTCTTAGCTGAATGCTTTCACAATGATTGCCAGAAATCACTAGGGAAACGGGGGTGGTTTGATGAGTTATCTCCGCGAGGAGGCGCCCATCAAGGGCTGTGACCCGGATGGGGGTAGGTAGTGGCTCCATGGGGATACGAGCTTGTGTAACGAACTGGTGGCTAATAAAGTTATCTTCTGCACCTGAGTCTATGAGAGCTGAGAGTGGCAGGGAATGACTCTGGAAACGTAAGGTTACAGGTACTTGTAATCGGGGAATGATGGGTTCAGGATCTAACTCTGGGCTCGCAAGTAGACCCACCGTTACGAGCGAGCCTTGTCTTTTGGCCGCTTAGGGCATGTAGCCAGAATGTGTGTGGCGTCTCCACAGTACAGGCACTCACCCGCCTGGAGGCGCCGTTGCCGCTCAGCTGGAGGTAGTCGAGCTCGACCCACTTGCATAGGTTCCTCCTCTGTGCTCGGGATGGAATCAGGAACAAGAAGCTGCCGACTCCGGAGAGGCGAGACTCGAGGGGTTGAAGGCTGGGGAACTCGTCCTCCTAGATGTGGCCGATCGCCTCTCTCCCGACGCCTCTCCCGCAACCGATTGTCTAGCTTGATGGACAGGGAAACGAGAGAATGTAAATCATGTGGCTCATCACGAGCAGCCAGTTCATCCTTAATGGCTTCATTCAAACCGTTTAGAAATGCTCCTTGAAGTGCCACATTGTTCCACTTGGAGTCCGCTGCCAACGTCCAGAACTCAATAGAGTACTCTGCCACACTGTTAGAACCCTGCCTCAAATTAAAAAGTATCTTGGAGGAATTACCCACATGGTCAGGATGGTCAAAAACAGTCTTCAATTTAGCAGAGAAATCAGCAAAAGTCAATCCAGTCAAAGTTTGATCTGAGCACACAGCCTCAGCCCAAACCAGAGCTTTCCCTCTTAACAGCCCCAGAACATAATGTACCTTAGATGAATCAGTAGAAAACGACAGTGGTCTCTGCCGAAAAATCAAGTCACACTGAAGCAAAAATCCCCGGCACTTGTCCAATTCTCCATTGAACGGTTCAGGCGACGTGACAGGGGGTTCCCGACGGAACGAAGCCTGCCTAGTGTCCGAGGAAACAACTTGGGGTGCATCAAACTGGGGGTCAGAGAGAGATGGAGAACTGATAACAGACAATTTAGAGACGTGTGTAGTTAACTGAGTCACCTGGTTCAGCAGTTGATGATTCTCTTCCACAAGAGTCCGAATCAACTGGTCATGCTGTCCTAGCAACGTTCCTTGAGCCTGGATAGCTTGTTGGAAGCTGTCTTTGTTTGCCCCGTGCTGTTTCTCTGTTGGGTCCATGGCCAGATCGTTCTGTTATGGCTATGGTTCAACCCAGCACTCAGAGAAACCAACACGACAAAGGGAGTGGGAAACAAAAATATTTTAATAAAAGTTCAAATTGTCTTAGTCCAAAAACAACTGAAGTAAAGGAACAGAGTGGGCTAGTCGGCTCCGGAGGAAGGAGAGGCTGAGGCAGGCAGGCAGGCAGGCAGGCAGACCGACAGGCAGGAAGGCAGGCAGGTTGGGAGGTATGTCCGAACTGAAGACAAAACAAACGACAGGATAAGGAGAGTGGAGAGCCAGGCTGAAGACAAAGACAAAATAACTTTACTGGTGAGCCAAGTTACCGCTCTGGTAAGAACAACGATCTGGCGCCGGTGGAGAGCCATGCCCAGGAATAAGTAGTGCAGGTTGATGAGAGAATAGGATGCAGCTGCGTAGGCAGGAATCACTGGAAACAACCCGCAGCTGCACAGGAGAGGCAGATCCTGAGCACGCCCCCTGCTCCACTCCAGACACACCCACATAAAGGGGACAAACACACATACAACAGAAAAAGAGGGGACAAAACAAGGAGGAAGGGAAACAGAAAAGGGAGAGACAAGCTGCCCACATAACACACGAGGTGAGATCTTCTTCCATTTTCTAATAATTTCACCAACAGTTGTTGCCTTCTCACCAAGCTGCTTGCCTATTGTCCTGTAGCCCATCCCAGCCTTGTGCAGGTCTACAATTTTATCCCTGATGTCCTTACACAGCTCTCTGGTCTTGGCCAACGTGGAGAGGTTGGAGTCTGTTTGATTGAGTGTGTGGACAGGTGTCTTTTATACAGGTAACGAGTTCAAACAGGTGCAGTTAATACAGGTAATAAATGGAGAACAGGAGGGCTTCTTAAAGAAAAACTAACAGGTCTGTGAGAGCCGGAATTCTTACTGGTTGGTAGGTGATCAAATACTTATGTCATGCAATAAAATGCAAATTAATTACTTAAAAATCATACAAATGTGATTTTCTGGATTTTTGTTTTAGATTCCGTCTCTCACAGTTGAAGTGTACCTATGATAAAAATACAGACCTCTACATGCTTTGTAAGTAGGAAAACCTGCAAAATCGGCAGTGTATGAAATACTTGTTCTCCCCACATGTACTAACCAAAAAAGTGTAAAACAAAATCAGAATATATTTTATATTTAAGATTCTTCAAACTAGCCACCCTTTGCCTTGATGACAGCTTTGCACACGCTTGGCATTCTCTCAACCAGCTTCATGAGGTCACCTGGAATGCATTTTAATTAACAGGTGTGCCTTGTTCAAAGTTAATTAGGCAAATGTATTTCCTTCTTAATGCGTTTGAGCCAATCAGTTAAAGAAAAACCCTTGAATGAGTAGGTGTCCAAACTTTTGACTGGTAGTGCGCGCCCACACATACAGCATTCGGAAAGTATTCAGACCCGTTTACTTTTTCCACATTTTGTTACATTACAGCCTTATTCTAAAATGGATTAAATAAATAAAAATTCTTAACAATCTATAAACTGTATCCCATAATGACAAAACGAAAAACAGGTTTTTAAATTATCTTATGTAAATAAGGTATTTCAGTTCTTAAAAAAAAAAAATCAATTTATCAATGTGTGTAGATTGATTAGGGAAAACACTTATTTAATCCGTTTTAGAATAAGGCAGTAACGTAACAAAATGTGGAAAAAGTCAAGGGATCTGAATACTTTCCGAATCCACTGTATATAAAAATAAATAAATGAGAGAGAGAGAGCGAGACCTTTATTTTTTTTATCTGGTCAGAGACCCCCTGCAGTACCTCCACGGACCCCACTTTGAGAACCCCTGCCATAGAGAATGCTCTTACTTTGCGGAGGGATGCTGTTTTAGCAACAGATGTTAGGTCAATAATGTCGCCTTCTAGATTAGGGTACAGTGGATGGACGGCCTGCTAATCAACCGGGCCTGAAAAACTCCCAGTGCGTTTGCCCATCTAAGGACAAGGTTGCCTGGGCACAGGCTCAAGTGTTTGTACTTTTAGAGTGAGTGAGTGAGTGAGTGAGTGAGTGAGTGAGTGAGTGAGTGAGTGATTGATTGATTGAGTGAGAGCGATGGTGAGTAGGCTTGGGCGGTCTCCAGAGTTTCATATCATCATCCCATCCTCTCATCCCGGGATTTACGGTATTGCCGGCATAGCACACAAGGGGGCGCTAAAAACCCAAGAAAAGCCCATTGGGCCTCCATTACCAGAATGCTAATAACATTAGCATAAATAAATACCGAAATCACATAGATGCTGTTAGCTAAATGCTAACGAGCGAAAACAAACATAACTATTGCAAAGAACAGGCTAATTCAGCTCATAAAGTTATACAAGTATAGCTAGTAGCTACTGAATGTCATTTTCAGTGAGTGTGGACATTTACAAGCGAACGTGAACGAGATAAATTGTGCAAATGAACAAAGTTGTGATGCTGCTCTTCCTTCAGAAAAGCATGCATGTGTACATGGAGCAGAGGGGAGAAGAACGGAGGAGAAAAAACCTGTTAGTAGGAAGCACAGGGGAAAAAATTGCAACTGTACAGATAACTCATCCAGAGCTCTTTAACTTCTGGGTGAAAGCCATTATAAGATATCTGATGGCAAACATTTAGTAGTGTAACTTCATCACCTCATGTGCACCGTACAACTAAGACTCGCCGATAGATATATAAAGCTATGGACTCACCAGCTCCTGCTTTCGCCCGTTGAGCTATTTACAAACAAACAAGTGACTGGCTCAACTCAACTGTTCTGGGGAACTACGGTAAGCTTCATAATGTAAAGTAATGTGATGGCTGAAATGAAGAATGCAATCTGCTTTATCTCCTAAGTATTGCACAAGTTGACTGCAGGTATTAACTTAAAGTAGCTACAAATATTAAAATGTACTTGAAAACTTCAAATAAATAGTTGACAGTATTGATGATATTGAAAAACCATCCTGTGGCTTTTTCCAAATACCCTGGTATGTGGTATATATGGTAAACCGCCCAAGAATAATAGTGAGAGAGAGAGTGAAAGAGAGATGGGGGGGGGGGCGCAAACTGTATTCTAGAATAAAAACTGCTGACGTAGGCATTCTGTTGTAAGGCTACACCCACAGGGGTCTGAGGAAGCCTCTTCCACAGCAAACACCTGCGGTATGAAACGCAGCAAAGAAGAATGCACCCGGAATCTAAAACGGAAGATGTGAACTTGTTTCTGTAAACACCCCATCCCCCCCCCCCACCCAATAACCCAAACTTTCTGACGTGGACAGATGAGGGAGGGTCATGTACAGTACATAACAAACATACTTCCCATACTTCAGTGGACAGTGTTACTTTTCCCTTGGGCTGGCCCAGGAAAAGCCCAATTGGGGTAAACGATTTCAATAAACCCAAAATAGCCACCATGTGTCCTAATAAACACGCAAATCCTTCCCCCGCCACTTTGGGCATGATTATATTTGCTCAAATCCACTTTGAGCAATACAAAACAGCTTGCACCAATTGCCCCTCTGCCAATATTCCTTGCATCGTTTCCCTCCATTATGGCTACCCCCTTAATGCCACACTCCTCTATTCCTCCTGTTGTCTGGGGCCTTCTCTTCTTCCCTCTTTCACTGACGTGGGTTCCCCAGGCCCCTGCGGAGACCGGGTTCTAAAAGCTGGGCCTCAGAGGCTGCTGGATAAGACAGCGCTCTCCACCGCCACACTCCACTGTGAATAAACTGTGCTCACCTGACAGCCAGTTGACAGGCTACCGCCAGGCTGCCACACCTCTCCTAATGCTATAATGGCTGGTTTCATTTACTATCTTTGCATCTGACTTTGCCTCTATTGTGTTGTGTTTATAATGACAAATTGCTTTGACAGTAATCTTCATGTTTCCCGATTCGCGGCTCAGCTGAGAACGGTTTGTGTGTTGTCTGTTGGAAACGGTGCAGTCTTTTCTCCAGCCTTGAATTTAAAATGTTGATGATCATGCAAATAGTGAGTATGGCTAAAAGTTTATGTAAAATGTGCAGTCTGTAGGCACGTGTGCAAATGTTTTGGTCTGTGTTTGTGTGTGTCAACTTAACACTCACTAACTGTCGGTCACGCAGGGTGACTCAGGGCTAACGGCTTTATCCCATCATCTTTAGTACTATTATAGTCCAGCAGCATAAATCTAGCCTGCTCCTACCTAATCCCGTACTATAAATGGAATACAGGCCACATCATGACATAAGGAAGTAAGGGAAGCAAATGTAAACAAACAACTAACTGCACAGCTATCCAATTAGTCAGCTGGTAAAAAAATAAATATATATATAAAATAAAAAGAGCCTCTGGGGATGCCAACAAAGTCCAGTCTAGTCTTCACACGGTTACCTCTCACACAATGAGCTGTGTGTGTGTAAGGCCCTCCCTCCCAGCTAGTCAACAGCCTCCTGGAAGAACTGATACTGCACTAATGGCCTCCACTCACTACATACAGCACTACACAGAGCCTTACAGCTCAGCCAAGCAATCTACACCAGAACACATTTTTTTAATGCTGTTGCAACATTCAAAGCAGAAAAACAGTAACAAGTAAACAATTTTGCCACTACTGAAGAGGATGACTACTCGACTTGATAGAATAGTCTGAAGATCCTAAAATACGACAAAGGTGTGTAGGCCTATACTGCACAAGTTTGCATGACACAAGAGTGTATATTGCACAGTGACCTAGTAAGACTGCCATTCTGCTCCAAGGCTCTTATCCTGTATCAGTGCTCTGAAGTGGACAAACAATTACCCAGGCTGATAAGGGGAAATTACACTGACCTCTCTGATGCTACAAACAGTACTGGGCGTAACAATTTTTTTTGGGGGATGTTTGTCTGCGCATAAGAAATAACTTTTACTACACTATTATTATAATGATACCATTAGATAAGCATTGCAGATTGTAAACAAGTCTAGACAAGTCAAATATTTGTGTTGTTATGCAAATGCAATGTGCTGACTCTACAGAGTTTGTGAATCTGCATTTACATGCATAGAGGGCCACCAAGATTTTCCCCAAATCCATGAACTATAGTTACAGGACGTTGTTGCTCTCACGACAAAAACAAATAAAGCATTGAGAAGAGTTGAAAATTGGGGTAAAATGCCACCAGAGGCCAGCAATTTTCTGCCTCCATTTGAAAATGAAGTACTGTCCTCGTAAGTCGAGCGTGATGCGTGGCTTACGAGGGCACCCTTAGATCGTAGGAAAAGGCCACACTTGACCGTTGCACTTGAATCATTCCCACGGTGAATGGCTAAGCCCGCTACGCTATGAAACCACACACTATTGCAGAGATTTTTATATTATCAGCCTCAATAGATATGGTGAAAACAATGTGTGAGGAGGCAGAGGCACAGAAACTCACATCAATACCTTGTCAGATAACACTGAAAATAAGAAGGCCGAGATGCCCATGCATTAACTTGTTTGCTACATGTCGGGGGACACTATTCATGAGGACATATTGTTATGTCTCACGATTCCCGAGCATGAAACTGTTCAGTGTGCTGCATGGCTATATTGACAAAAAACTGATTCCATGGGATCGAAAGGTGGGCTCCATCTATCACGGGAGGGCGGGCAGGCCTCTGCACTCTAGTTATGAATGTGTCTCCCTCTGCCATATGGACGCATTGTATGATACACCCACTAAACACTATAATGGATACACAGAGAGCAACTGGCGGAAAAAGAGCTGAGCGCAGAACTCAAGTTATACAGCTGGCAACTTCGATTGTAAACTACATCATGAACGAACTGAACGCAAACATGCAGGGGAAATACAAAAATATATATACAGATGAGTGACGGAAACAGCAAAATTCATTTGACTGGGATCCTGGCTCAGTGGACATGATGGTAAGTGAAATCTAACAGCTGATCGAGCTGTGTCATGTGACCGAATGCTATAGACAACGCATTCACGGGTCACTTTGGAGGAGTTTTGTTCCTGACTCAAAAGGGAATACTGTGCAGTCTCCCTCCGAGCATTAAAACTCATGGTAAGCTGATTCAGTGCTCTCGTCTGCATTGAAAACAAATATCGATCCAGGTTGGATGTGACAGGAGAGATGAGGTGCACAATTTCGACCACACCCCCTGACTTTGAGAAGCTCCGACGCGACATGCATCAAGCACACCAATCTCATTAGTGGTGGTGAGATAGAAGAGAAATTGTCCAACTAATTTGCAATTGACTGTCTTGCCCCACATTAATAGTATATGATGGCGAGTTGAGAATACAATCAGAAATACTGTTGACTGCCATAACCCCAATAAACAAAAAAGTCAACATTGGCTGTTAATTACAAAAAAAAATCCACATGGTTGTGAAAAAGAACATGTGACACTTGCTGTATGTACTGTAACTTTTAACAGTTGGAGCAGTGAAGACATCCACATCCACATAGCACCAGCGTCATGCCTTTCTCACATCATATCACTCACCATGCTGGTAATAATCCCATGAAAACATGCACCCCACTGTTAACACACACCACTCGCTATCCAATCCAGCATGATTTCTGCCGCGTTCAACACAACTGGAAACTCGAAACTGGGAAATCTCAGACTTGAACGGTCATCCAACTCAGAATTCCAAGTCGGGAACTCGGGCCTCTTTCTAGAGCTCCAACCTGAAGATCACTGACGTCATGATTCGACCTTGTTTTTTTTCCAGAGTTCCCAGTTGTCTTGAAAGCACCATAAATCCAGAGAATGCCAGACTTTGATGACAGAATTTGCCCACGAAGGACCGCCGCGCCACCTTCCTGTTCAAGTGAGCACAGTACAACAAGGTGAGTCCAAAAATGTATTGTATGCTGCTGCATAAATGATGTAATATGCCAGGGAGATATGTATACTGTAGCTAAGAAAGTAATACTAAGTGTATGTTGTGTAGTAGCCCATGTGCCTCACCATAATAATTTGGTCCCTTTCCCCCTCATAATTTAGCCTACCGTTCTGACTTGGTGGTGCACATGTAGCCTATAGCCTGTTTTAGAGAAATGTAATCATTGAATATTGTAAGAACATCCATTGTCTACTTATATGCCCCCTTTATTTATCCTACAGCTCTGACTTGGTGTACAGGGAGAATACTATAAGAACGGCCCATGTACTGAATTATGTCGCTGTACATTTCAAAAGTGCTGAACAAATAGTTATATTGACAAGGTCCGTCCTAGCTCGCTCATTAATGTCTTAAATGAAATTACGGATAGCCCCTTATGCCATAGTTTGTACATCTCAATTGTCAGTAGAAGCCACATTTGTTTAAGCAAGTCAGCCATATCAGCTACACTACCGGTCCAATGTTTTAGAACGCCTACTCATTCAAGGGTTTTTCTTTATTTTTACTATTTTCTACATTGTAAAATAATAGTAAAAGACATAAACTATGAAATAACATAGTAGTAACCAAAAAAGTGTTAAATAAAAAATTATTTTAGGTTTTACATTCTTCAAAGTAGCCACCCTTTGTCTTGATGACAGCTTTGCACACTCTTGCATTCTCTCAACCAGCTTCACCTGGAATGCTTTTCCAACAGTCTTGAAGGAGTTCCCACATATGCTGAGCACTTGTTGGCTACTTTTCCTTCACTCTGTGGTCCGACTCATCCCAAACCATCTCAATTTGGTTGAGGTCGGGGGATTGTGGAGGCCAGGTCATCTGATGCAGCACTCCATCACTCTCCATCTTGGTAAAATAGCCCTTACACAGCCTGGAGGTGTGTTTGGTCATTGTTCTGTTGAAAAACAAATGATAGTCCCACTAAGCCCAAACCAGATGGGATGGCGTATCGCTGCAGAATGCTGTGGTAGCCATGCTGGTTAAGTGTGCCTTGAATTCTAAATAAATCACAGACAGTGTCACCAGCAAAGCACCCCCACACCATAACACCTCCTCCTCCATTCTTTACGGTAGGAAATACACATGCAGAGATCATCCGTTCATCCACAGAGTCTCACAAAGACACGGCGGATGGAACCAAAAATCTCAAATTTGGACTCCAGACCAAAGTACACATTTCCACCAGTCTAATGTCCATTGCTCGTGTTTCTTGGCCCAAGCAAGTCTCTACTTCTTATTGGTGTCCTTTAGTAGTGGTTTCTTT